AAAAAAAAGGAGGGGGGGGTTTAAGGGGGTGCCAAGCACTCATAGTATTCCTGACTTCAAAGGATGAAGCCTGGGCTAGCTCAGGGGGAGCAGATGTGCCATGGTAGCCATGTTTGTTGTGGGCAAACGGTGGTCATTTTCCCAAGGCATCAGCCAATTGAAACACAGAGATCTGCATATCATTTGGGCACTGCAACTGAGTGCAGCTGGGTATGAAACCTTGCAGTTTGCAGGGACGGGATAGCCAGGGAGCACATTGGGCTGGCTGAGCCAGAGCCCCGTGGCTGTGCAGGGGAACTGTAGGGGCACTTGCAATACCCCCACAGTGCCATCCTCAGATTGGGCATTTCAGGAGGCAGTAGTTTTCCTACCAGGTTTTTGCTTGCCATAAATAAATATATGTATGTATATGTTTGTTGTTTTCTTACCATCTTGGAGCAGTTTGGACCCCTGGGTAGCAAGCATCTTTCTAGTGCAGGAAAAAGAAAGGGAAACAAATGGTGTGGAAATGCATAGCAAATTGGGATGCAATACACAACAGGCCTCTCCCTGCTGTGTGACCCCCAACCCTGGGGAGGGGGGGCTGGTGGGGAATGAATTACTTGGGGATGGGAAGGCGGTGTACAGCAGAGCTTCCCAGGCAGAGCAGGAATCTCAGCTGAGCCTAGAGTCATGCAGGCAGCGACCGTGTCCACCGGCACAAATCAGTGCCAGGCTTGCTAGCAAGGCCAGTCAGGGTTCTGTCTGTTGGTTAAATTTTGGGTTGGAATGCCACATGACAAAAATGTAAAAGGTGTGAGATGCAAAGGAAAGGGCTGGAAAAGTCTCTCAGGGAAGGACGTGCAAAATTTGACATTAGCTTCTGGATTAGGGAGCTCTGTTTGAGCGAGAAGGGAGAGGCTGGGCCGGAAAACTGGTCCTGAGCTAGGGAGCGGGGGCAGCAAGATCCCCAGTCAGCTTAGATGGTCACAGCTCTGCACGTCTGTGGAGCTAAACCATCTCATGCCCACGGAGGATCTGCCTCACCAACCCACCCTGCAGCTTCCAAGCATCTGCAGTTCTGGGGACGTGTTGTCAGAGGATTGGAGAGGGCTGGAAGATTAAAGCAGGTGTGTGACACAACTCTCCAGGGCATCACTCGCAGCTACTCAGTATGTTTCGGTGCAGCCAAAGCTGAAAATTTGGAATCATGCTTGGTCAGCACTCCTGGGATTCAGGAGCCGCAAGCTGTGAGCTTTAGTGTCCCAATTTTGTTCCATTTAAAGCTTCAGCTTTTTATTTATTACTGAGCAGTGTTAGAGGAGGGAATTCCTTCCTGTGTAAGTCATGCAGGCTTTTAAAACTGAAACCTAGGAGGAGTTTATTACCCGAGGGAAACGGTCTGATGGTGTAACTCGGAGGGTGAGCGGCTCCGGTAACTTTGGGTGCCATGGCAACCGTACCGGCAAGTTTAACATTCAACAAAATGTTCCTGGACATGGTTTTATTATAAGCTGCTCCCGCCCCCTGCCCTGCAGCTGCTCGGGGCTCTCCCAGTGGGTTTGGGACGTTGTGGCGGTGAGCACGGCTCGGGAGCCACCGCCCGC